CGTTCGATTACTATTCGATAATGTTCGCGAATATTTGTTCGCGAACAGTTCAATAGTTGTTCGATAATATGTTCGATCGAGTTCGAACAGGGGTTATTCGTTCGATTATGTTCGTGAACACTATACGTTCGACTAATCCATCCGTTCGATTGTTCGTTCGTTTATGTTCGAAAAATATGTTATGCATTATTATAATTAATTTTTTTTTTCATTTTTATATTATGTTTGATTTAATTTAGATGAATTTTTTTTAATGGTAATCAATAATAAAATATTATGATACTTTTGTTTTTCTTATATATATAATATGTTTGGATTTTTTTTTTCCAAATGTCATCAATAATTAAATATATAAGTATATAGAATTTTAATTAAAAAGTAATAAATTATTATGATACATAGCATGACAAATTTAATAACATAATAAATTGTATAATCAAGTGATATATAATATAGTAAATCCAATAACATAATAGCTTCATATTTTTCTAAATGTAATCAATAATTAAATATTATAAGATAGCATTTCAATTAATAAATAATAAATATAGTATGGTAAATTGATAAACATAACATATTGTATAATCAAGTGATGTATAGCATACCAAATTTAATAATATAATAGTTTAATTAAACCTAAATTAATCACACATTTGTATTGATCATTTATTACAATAAACTCTCATATCACTATGAATTTATAGGTGTTGGTACAGAATAAATATGTAGACAGTAATGATAATATATATATATATATAATTAATCACATATATGTATTGATCATATATTACAATAGATTTTCATTCCACTATAAATTTATGGGTGTTGAATTGTTGATATAAAATATATATGTAAACATTTAAAATATTTATGATAATTCATGTAATGATAATAAATATATGATAACCTATAATTTTGGTAATTTCATAACATATTTAACCTATGATTAATATATGTATGATAATAATTTTGTATATACACAATTAACAATTATATATAACAAATTAATCACACATATGTATTGATCATATATTATAATAGGCCATCATTTCACTATGAATTTATGGGTGTTGATACAAAATATATATATACAACAAATTAATCACACATATGTATTGATCATATATTACAATAGACTTTTATTCCACTATAAATTTATGAGTGTTGATACAAAATATATATGTAAATATTTAAAATATTTAGGATAATTTATGTAATGATAATAAATATATATATGTAAACAAATTCCTTTTGTTTGTGTCATGTTTGATATGGAACTAAATTTGTTTTGAACGATTTATTGTTCTGTTTAATTTGTTTTGAAGTTTTATTATTTATGATGATTAGTTATTTTAATTTAGTGAGTTTTTATTGATTTGTTTAAAATATAAATATAGATAAAGAGTTGGTTTATTTTCAAATGTTGAATTAAATGGGTATGAATTATAAATTGTTGCATATTTGTTTTTTAGAGCATGAATTGGAAAGTTAGTGTACATTTTTTATTCGAACATTTATTTACAAGTTATTGAACGAGTTATTCGAACAGGTATTTACAAATTATCGAACAAGTTAGTCGAACAGGTATTTACAAATTATCGAATGAATTATCGAACGAGTTAGTCGAACAAGTATTTACAAATTATCGAACGAGTTAGTCGAACGAACAAGTTAGTCGAACGAGTTAGTCGAACAAGTTAGTCGAACGAACACGAACGAGTTACGAACGAGCACGAACACGAACACACATCATGTGTTCGTTCGAACACGAACACGAACACGAACACGAACACGAACACGAACAATCGAACATGCTTATCGAACGATTTTCGAACGGGCCTGTTCGTTCATGTTCAGTTCGATTGCAGGCCTGCGGCACCGTCCTCAACAAAATTTCATTATTTTTTTTTTTCCTTAAATTTTTGTTTCCCGCAAATTCATATTACCTGAAATGTTTTTTTTTTTTTTTTAACCATCCTGATTAATTGTAGGTTGCCATAACTAATAAATACATCATTAATAATAATAGATTTTGAATTATCATCAATTGATCACAAATGAACATGATTATCATTTCTCAAACATTACAGATAATCATTTCCTTCAAAATTAACTACATAATAAATGATATTTTATTTAGTTGTGATTTTCAGATTATTAGTCTTCTGTCTAATTAATAATTGGAACACGAGCAAGTACTATAAATGTCCAGCATATCATTTCCACCACAATTGTTGCCTTACACCTCAGACATTGTGAAAGATGACAAGAAAGCAAGTTTGCAATCGGAGATTGAGAAGCATTAGATTCAGATATAAACAATAAGTCATACGGAGCCACATTTGGAAATTATGTCTTTTTATAATGTTTTCCGTAAAAAATGAACTTGAATATAGAGGAATATATGCACCCAAAATATGGGGGAAAACATGCTCTATTCAACACGGCAAAGTTTACTTAGTGCTATGGAGATTCTGCTTTTTTGACTTAGCTCCTTCCCTTCCCATATCTGAAAGCCTGCCTCCGCATTTTTTTTAACTAAAAGTATAGGCTTGGAATTAAAAAAACTGAAGATGTGTACACCGCAAGGATATATATATATCCTCTAGCTAAAAATTATTTACTGATCCTCCTTTCGTTAAAAATTACCATAAAACTTTCAAAAAATTATAGTATGATCACGTTTAAGTGAATAAAACATTAAGTAAAACTGAAAATGATAGAAAATAAAATTATGAATTGTATTTGTTTGCAAAACATTTGATATTTGGTGTATATTAAATCTTAAGTATTTAAGTTATTAAATTAAAAGTTGATGTAGTATATAGAAGGAATTGTATCTGCAAACTAAAATTTAAAATGTAAAAAATTAAAATTCATGCAAAGTTATGCAAATTCGGATACCCAAAAAACCAGATACTCTAAAAAACGGTTCGATTAGCGGGTAACCCTTAGGGGTTTTTCTGTCAAAACCGGTTTAGGTACCTGATTTTTCACAGTCCTGTGGGGTAGAGCGGAAACATTTGCACAACCTTTTATTACAGAGAAAAACAGCTCTGAAGGTGGTGAAGTTTTTGGGTCAAACTGGTTGTTGACTACACGCTTGTAGTCTGAGTGGGTTTCTTTGTATAACTTGAGGAAAGAGAGAGGACGAACCTCCAAAAAGTAACCTCCCTCTACAGTCTACAGTACACACCAATCCCCATAATTAGACCGAATGACTTACGCATACCTAAGGTTTGCCGAAACTACAAGTTGATACCCAAAATGTTTTGAAATGATAAATAGGTACCTTCCGTCATGTTCTATTAGTGATTTTCGTTTGATAATAGTGAAAAGACTAGAATGCCTTTGAAAGTTTGATATTTTAGGTTTTTATAAATTTAAAAATTTCTAAAAAAACCCCCTAGGTTTGCTAATTTGACTAAATACCTCAATATATAAAAATTTTGTAAAACAACAAAAACACCCCCGTCACCCGCAGTGCCAGATTCCGGCCACCACTGCCGGAATATTGCGTTACGACACAGACCCATCGGATCTATGTCGTAACGCGTAGATCTTGCATTTTTCGGTAAGATGCGTGGCTTATATGGCCGGAAAAGGCCAGATCTACGGCCAAATCTGGCCGAAAAATTGCGTTACGACACAGACCCGTCGGATATGTATCGTAACGTGTCGATCTGGCATTTTCTGACCAGTTCCGTTCGGATCTGTATCGTAACGTGTCGATATGTCATTTTCCGGCCAGATCTGGCCGTCGAGGCCGGAAAAGACCAAACGTAGATCTGGCCGGAAAAGGCCAGATCGACGCGTTACGACACAGATTTGACGGGTCTGTGTCGTAACGCAATATGTCGGCCAGATTCCGACGGTGGTGGCCAGAATTTGGCACTGCAGTGGCGGGGGTGTTTTTGTTATTTTTCAAAATTTTTATATATTGGGGTATTTAGTCAAATTAGCAAACTAGGGGGTTTTTTAGAAATTTTTAAATTGATAAAAAACTGAAATATCAAACTTTCAAGGGCATTCTAGTCTTTTCACTATTATCAAACAAAAATCACTAACAGAACATGACGGAAGGTATCTATTTATCATTTCAAAACCTTTTGAATACCAACTTGTCGTTTCGAAAAACTTTGGGCATGTGTATGTCGTTTGGCCCCCCATAATTATTTCCAAATAAGAGGCTCCTGTGAAAAGCTCGCGCTCGTTTGAGTGTCTAAGTCCTGACATTCTCATTTCCGCCCTTGTCATTCTCATTATCAACAGCATAAGTTCTCACTTTCTCCCTTCATAATTTATATGTAACAAGTAACTGAAATTTCATGTGCAATCTGTTGTAAAAATTGTAATATAAAGATGACAAATTAAATTGGGAGCACTCTAGAACAATATCTATGAGTTACAATACGTGAAATACGCAGAGCAATACAAATTAGGAATATGAGACATGTACAGAGCAATATGAACTAACTAGGAAACTATGTAAGTATCTTCATATAACGCACAAATCGTTAGCTTCGTTTACCCTTGTTGGTGAAGGGCTAACTCGACCCTACACAAATTTCTCTTTTTTTGTTGTTTGAAAACTGTAAAGTTAGTGTTTACTATATGATTTTTCATTTCCTATTTTCAGAAAATATTTAATCCATATTTTTCTCAGTATTTCGTATTTACATTTTTATTCTATTTTTCCGAAAATATAAAAAAGTACTATATCGAAGGCTTTTTCTTGTTTCACTGCTTAATTTTTTATAATGAATCAAACATTGACTTTAATCTCAAAACTACAAAAGTTATAATCATTTTATTAAAACAAGATATAAATCCATGATCAAACTACCTTTTATCTTCGTTATTGCTACGTCCAGTGTGAAAGGAAAAAGAAAAGAAAACTTGATGAAAAGTTTTCCTTGTAAACAAGAGCTTCACATTCAGAGATCATCAATCATGTATTTTACATGAACTTATATACATGACCATTATCTGTACAATGTTCTCTAGAGAAACAATGCCTTCCAGTTTTAGTATGTTTCCTTTCCTTATTTATATTCTTTACAGAAATGTATTATTGTTCTACAATGTTTACCAAGGAGGAAACCACCAGAATACAAAAAATCTCCCATCTTTTGTCAGGGATCCATAATCCTATTTATAAAAATCCTGGTACTCTGTGTTCCCAGAAGTTAAGGATGGATAGCTGAGCTCTACAAATATAGAGCAACCAACAGCAGCTTAATATGTGAAGAGTCTGATCACTTTCCGTAATAATATACCTGGTGTAATCAAATACACATAATACTGATTAGAAATTCAACCATAATAAGGAACATAAACAGCAGAATGCATATTGGAACGTTCATCACTAATATATTATAATCCAAAAGTTCAAACCCTTTAATCGGCATAACCTCTAATTTGATATTTTCATTGCACTGAAAAGTTTGCAATATCAGCGGACTACTACACTCACATTTGTCACAATTAGCCAAGTTGTACAATATTTAGATTTAATTTTTTTTCAGGGCAATGTATTAACCAATTGTCATCAAATAATAAAAATTAATCCTTGCATTTTGATTATGTGAATACTTGGTTGTATGTAAAAATCTGCAACACCTAAGTTAACCCAAATGAAAATATATACAAACAGTAATTGGGCGTTTTAGTGATCTGCATCATGTGATAAAAAATCACAGTTCTTCACTCACCAATAAAGTTCTCAGATGACAGAAGCTAAACCACCATAACTAGGAAAATCCTTAAAGACGACAGTTGTAGGTCGTACATTTTTCAGGAAAATTTCATAGCATCCAGTTCAAATATGTGCAATAAGTGCAAGACAATGGTGTGATGCTCACAAAAGCATATAGAAGAAAAAAATGGCTTACCTTAACAGTTCGGTCAGCATATCCAACAAAAAGCTTTCCTTGCCAGTAAAACAAAGCTGTTACGACAGAACCACAGGATATTGAACCAATAGGCCATGGCATCCACGTGAAACTCATTCACCATTAGTTCCTACAAATTGATAGCAACACTGATGAGTAACATAAGTTCCTAAATAAATGAAATATATATTAAATTTAATTCAGAAGAGTTTAGACAGAAACAGGATATTATTAGCTTAAAGTTAAAATCACAGTTGAAAGGAACTTTCAAATGCAAATATGTACTACATTACAAGTTCTTAAATAGGTTAATATCAGCCATGAATCAGCTTGTCCGCCTTCAAGCCATACAAGAATTGATGTAATCAATATAATGAAAAAAACAAATGATGCACCTGCACACTGACAGTCTTGTCCCAGCCTCCTGTAAACAGCCATTTCCCCTCCATGCAAATAGACAGGATGGAACCATTATGTGTTTGCATGGATTTCATTAACACATCATTACTCCAGACCTGCAGGATGTAGTGATGAAAGATAAAAAATTCACTGACCAAGTTAATCAGGAAAAAAGCTTGAAAGGAAAGCAGCAAATCCATATTGGTATTCCCCATGACAAGGACACACAACTATATATTCCCTATTGGCTCGAAAATCATATTCATGTGCATGTTCGAGCATACACATTTTTGAATGCGGAACTGCAGATGCACAATACTTGAGCATATAAATCAATCTTTCCTCAAGCTCATGCAGTGTAATTCTAGCATTCTACATTAACTATCTACGAAGTCATAAACTGCAGAAATCAAAGTAAATGGTCAAATCTCATATCCTCCCAGAAGTGGTGGTCGTTAAACACTCCGTAAGGATTCTGCCACCTAAGCTTCATAATTTTATGATGCTAATAAAATATTAAATTCTGTCCCACAGTGTCACATGCGAATTCTCTGCATAACATGACCAAAATAACTTTGGCAGGCTATTATAGACCACCTTGAAAGTTCAACATTATTTTACTTACATGTAGTGTCAGCTATTCAATGCCCATAAAACATAAACAGATCAAACCTAGCTCAAGCAAGTATCAGAGACTACAACACCTTTATAGATCCATTTTCATGAGCTGCAACAATAGTATGCTGATTGGCAGTAAGTGACAAGACAGAGTACACATTGCCCATACTGACTTCCTCCAACACCGTCATCAGACTATGATCACTTAGACTATGTCCGGAAACTTGTGTGGCAGGTTCAACAGGCAGCTGTCGCAGCACGTGTGGCCGCACGCGAGTACGCGTGGAATTGTGTACTCGCTGTCGTAGGAATGTAAGCACACCGGACACTCTGGCATTTCCATCGTCACGTCGAGACGAGGGACAGTACGACCACTTCGTACCAGTAACAGTAAATTGGTTAATTTGGTTTAGCCAAAGGCGTTACATACTGTTCATGAACGACGTCGTTGATAACAAATTACAAGAGAGAACAAGAGCATGATAATTGGTCTAAAAATCCATCCAAGTTGAGCGGTGGCCCAAGCCAAGGACAAAACTCCAGACCCCATAAGTGCTGTTATTATATGAGCACTTGCAGCCCACACAGTAGTTCCTGACGATTGAAAAACAAATGAACATACTTTCAGGAAAAGAATTTTGAAGTTTGAACAGAAAAATTAAACGGTTCATATTGTTAATTGCATGCATCCTTTGAGAAAGTTTAAAAAAGAAAGTTACCTGTTGCCGTGCGGCGGCCATCATCATAAGGAATTGGAGTTGGAGCCGCCTTGAGGATGCAAGTTAATGGAAACTTGAATCTGGGTAGCAGTCTTGTCACCCATCTTTGCCTTCAAAAGGAAAAAAACACAAATAATATTAAGCCTTTTGAAGCAACTCTAGCAGTCTACCTTGATGAAATTTATTTTAAAAATTAACAAAAACATAATTAAGTCATCAGACTCTTACCTTGTGTGTCCTCCCTTGATTATTTGTGGAAACTTGGCTGTAAGAAGCAGAACAACAACGTAACTCTATAAGAAGAAACAAGTTATTTGGAAGCATTAAATAATCGTTTTCTTTTGAATACAACTCAACCATCTTTGTTCAAGGAGAATGAAACTTTATTTTGCATGCACCGCTCATAATTTATCATAGCGAATCTTACAAAAATAGTTTCTTTAATGAAAAAAGAAAGAAAAAAAAAGAGTTAATTCTTTGGTTAGAAATTACATTTCTTGGAGGAAAAGTTTTGACTTGCAAGTATACTACTGCAATTAATATTACAAATTAAATATAAAATGAAAAGTAATTAATTATATGAAGGAGAAGACTCCTATAGTGCTACAAGAGTCTGTCTGTGCACTATGTAGAGTAGTTGTGTCGGAGGGCTTTTAGCAACAAGAGACCGACCGTCATCTTTGAAAAGCAGTTCCTCTTATCTCTAAGGATTTAACTTTGCTTGTAAATCAATAATAACTAGGTTGAAAAATCCAACATGACTGAACTAATAATTTAGCCAGTGACAGGTGTAAGTCAAGCTTGATGAATGAAGATTGAAGACTAAAAATGAGGTAAAATTCATTCCAATTTGAACATGCACAAAAAGTTCCGTGGTATATATAACAACAGGCAGATTTTGTCAAGCCCTCTTCGCGATCGCTGGATAGATCAGAGATCGAATATATTATTTTATGGCAAGATAAATATCTTAATAGAAACTAATTAAGAGTTGTTTTATATCATATATGATTGAATTGGTTCACCAATCCGAAGGAGTATCCAGCAAAACAAAAGATTTTTCAAAGCATCTCCATAAGTTATAATTGACCTGAAAATTCAGAGAAATTAGTTAAGCTCGTTGATGGGTCATGCACATATTGAATAAAGATTAATTAGTTAATAAAGTATTCAGACAAAGAAATAACAGAGAAGGACAAGTAAAATATGCCGTTACCACATGATCATTTAGGCTTCTTTTCTAAACAAATATTTAATGTCAGAAAACTATTTAAAATAACTTTTTGCTTTTGACAAGTTAAAATATGATACTTTCTTAATGGGTTTAGTAGACAAGACATTTCATTTAGTTTTGCTCCTACGTCCTATCCCTCCACAACTTTCATGACTTCACTCTAGCAACTCTAGCGTTGAAGTGACTTGCGCTAGAGTTATTATCATTTTTTTTTTTTTAATTATTCTCCAAATTAGAGTAAGAAATTAAATATCAAAATTTATTTAAACTAATAAATAAATTAACTAATTATATTTTATTAACAAATAAGATATATATTTTTTTTAAAAGGAATAGTATATGTATATAAAATTTATTTTAATTTTCTAAAATAAGAAATGAAAAATAATTTTTTTTACTCTAGCGCCATCGTTATCGAGCACTAAAGTAGCTTTTCGTAGCAGCTAGGTTTTGTGAAATAACAATTTATTAATTAGTCATTATAGCTCTTTTTTTAATAGATAAAATAAAAACTCCTTTAATTTGTGGATAAATCCTACCAAACCAATATCAATCTTCTTTCATCAGACACGTGATTTTATATATTTTTTAAAAAAAATGCTATCCTTACAAAGACTCATACAAAGAAGGTTACAAAGTGATATCATCTAGAAGAAAAAAAACAAAGAAAAAACGAAAAAAAGAAAGAAAGAGAGAGAGAGAGAAATCATGAAAATCAAGGGTGGAGATTGTCTTTATATGCCCCTTAGCATTGCTCATTTTAAAAGATACAAAATGTGAAAACGAAATTGAAAATTTGTAGTCAGTTGATTCTTTTTTGATTATATACACTTCAAAAAAGTAAGAAAAGGAGATAAGGAAACGACCTCCACAGCCTAACCAACAATCCCACCTTTATACTTGATGCGACTAAATCAAACTTAGCAAGTGCACTAGTCGTGTTCAAGTAATAAAGTGATGAGTTTGAGTATCGTCCCACAGAGATCAAAGTGAATATTTGTAATTACCTAAAACTACCTACACGTTATTTGAGAAAACAAAATCTTAGAGTGTAAAAGTAACGGATTAAAAATAATTAAATTAAACAAATAAATAATGTGATGAACTTTGCAATATTAATGAAGTTAGGGTACAGATTTCCCCCTAATTATGCTTGACAACCACTCTTAGTACCTGTTTGTGCTATGAATTGGTAGGATTCTTCTAAGGCCAATTATCCTTATTCAAGCATAATATTCAACTTAATACAGATCCATATTCGGTTACTCTGAAATTAAGAAGCATAAATTCATCAATCCCTTACNTGTAGTGTAGCCACTGGCAACACCGAAAAGGCTCATGTAATAAACAACTCTGCATATCTCGAACGTAATCCCACCTGAGAAAAGTAGAAACCTAACGAGTAAGATATTTAAGTTTTAAAACAAAAAGTTTCCATAAAAAATTTGTAACTTTGATCAATACTTTCACTAACGTAAAGTGAAATTTACCAAGTTTGGATCGAATAACGTCCATGTAAGTGTCGTTTGTGTTGCCAGTGACTAGGTCCCCAGAAGGGCAGCAAACAGCAGCAGCAAAAAGAGTGAAAGTGTAGCAAGTGACTAGAGAGAACAAGAGCATGACAATTGGTCCAAAAATCCATCCAAGTTGAGCGGTGGCCCAAGCCAAGGACAAAACTCCAGACCCCATAAGTGCCGTTATTATATGAGCACTTGCAGCCCACACAGTAGTTCCTGATGATTGAAAAACAAATTAACATACTTTCAGGAAAAGAATTTTGAACGGAAAAATTAAACGATTAATATTGTTAATTACATGCATCCTTTGAGAAAGTTTAAAAAGAAAGTTACCTGTTGGCTTGCGGCGGCCATCATCATTGGAGGAATTAGAGTTGGAGCCGCCTTGAGGATGCAAGTCAATGGAAACTTGAATCTGGTTAGCAGTCTTGTCACCCATCTTTGCCATTAAAAGGAAAAAACACAAATAATATTAAGCCTTTTGAAGCAACTCTAGCAATCTACCTTGATGAAATTTATTTTAGAAATTAAGAAAAACATAATTAATTCATCAGACTCTTACCTTGTATGTCCACCCTTGATTATTTGTGGAAACTTGGCTTTAGAAAGCAGAATAACAACGTAACTCTATAAGAAGAAACAGGTGACTTCAACTTAATTATCCGTCCAGTTAAATGAAGGCCCTATTTATAATTATTGGGAAGACAATAGTGCGATGATAAGTATTTGGAAGCATTAAATAATTGTTTTCTTTTGAATAGAACTCAACCATCTGTGTTCAACACGCACCGCTTATAATTTATCATAGTGAATCTTACAGAAATAGTTTCTTTAATGAAAAAAGAAAAAAAAAGTTGATTCTTTGGTTAGAAATTACATTTCTTGGAGGAAAAGTTTTGACTTGCAAGTCTACTATTGTAATTAATAAGACAAATTAAATATAGAGTAATTATAACGACAAGAACCACCCAAGGTTTGGCCTAATAAATTGTGCCCACCCTAAAAGTTTCAAAACGACAGTTTCCCACCCACCCATCCAATTCTTCCGTTTATTTAAACTTCCGAAGGATATAATGGTAAATTCAGTTTATTTTAATTTTTAATTTTCTTTTATAAATTTTGATAAATTGCTGTCGGCCATTGTCCCCTCCCCTTCTATACCCTCCCTCCTTTTCCATAACCTCTGTAACCACGACCTGCTGCCGGCCCAGTGCGAATCCATGCGTCTTTTTTGGGTAAAAGTTTATTATAAAAATAATAAAGAATTACATAAAAAGGGCAAGAACCTTAAGCACCAACATCTTTGGACATGACCAAGGAACAAGCTACACACAAGGAACTCAGGGCAGGGCACCCAGCAAAAGACTACCTAAATCAGCAGACTACCTGGATCAGCAAAAACCACAAGACCTGTAAGATGCTAAGTATAATGTAAGTCCAAACCAACAGGTCTATACAAACAGCAAAAAGGCCCTCAGAAACAATCTCAAAAAACTAGTTTCCAACGACTGAATCAGCCTGTACATTCTTCAAACCAGCAGCACCACACTGTAATCTATACACGCTGCCAGGATGCAACAACCATGGAGCAAACCAGTTGCTGCCTTGGCTAGACAGGAACAACCATAACCCATTGAGAGGAGGCAAAGAACAGCTGAAAATAAAGTTGAGTATGATTCCAAAACCCGATTGCATCAACCGTAACAAACATGTGCTGGCTTTGCTGGAAAAATAGCAGCTCAAAACCAACAAGGCACAACACATGAAAAATATCAAAAGGCCAACCATAACCACCATTACAAGAGAAAGCTCCCCTACCATTATTAAGATGCCAAATGCCGTAAACTAAAGGTACTACCAACACACTCGTCCAGCTATCCCATAGCCTCCTCAAATTACAAAAGACCAGCTGCACCTTCAAATACACTATTGCCTGGACAAGAAAGAACTTGTACATAATAACTTTGCAAATAAAGCAACACAAAAACAAATGTGCAACGCCTATTCTACAAGCAAGCCCAATCACAAAGTGGTTCACAGTAATCCCCCAAACAACAATACTCATAATGCCCTCATTGACTAGCATTACTCTTCCCGTGAGCAAAACCTGACCCAAAACACACCACCAAACTTCAATTCCTTCTCAACACAATCACCGCAACACACAACAATCAAGAAAAATCGTATCAAAAAAGCAATCAAACAATCAAATCTTCTATCAGTCAACTCGGCTTTAACTCAGTTTGGCCGGCAAATGAAGCTTCTCAATCGGACATATCAAGTCGGCATGTGGCTCTTGCACCACGCCTTTGGCCAACGCAAGGTCCTCAGGTGACGGCTAGATGTGGCCAGCAACAGCCACTGCCACAGAGAAAGGAAAGATAAGAAGAGAAGAAAAGGAAAGGGAAAAGAGAAAAGGAAGAAAACAAAAGAGAAGGGGAAGAGAGAAAAAATAGGGAAAGTGGCCTGGTGCGATTGGGAGAAGAAAAATTAGGGGTTTTGTTTCTTAAGTTTATATACAGCAGATAAAATGACATGATTATCCTTTAATTATTTTTGAAATTACTATTCTATCCTTCTACAGTTAAAAATAACGGAGAAATTGGCTGGATGGGTGGGAAACTGTCATTCTGAAACTTTTCGGGTGGGAACTGGTCATTAGGGCAAACCTTGGGTGGGAAGTGTACAGTAATTAATTATATGAAAGAGAAGACTCCTATAGTGCTACAAGCCTACAAGAATCTGTCTGTGCAGTATGTATAGTAGTTCTGAATTCTGATTGGAGGGCTTTTAGCAAAAAGAGACGGTCTCGTTCCAGGCAATCAGGCATCTCCAAGGATTTAACTTTGCTTGTAATTAATAAAGAATAAATAGGTTGAAAAATCCAACATGGATTGAACTAATTATAACTAGCGAGTGACAGGTGTAAGTCAAGCTTGATGAATGAAGATTGAAGACTAAAAATGAGGTAAAATTCATTCCAATTTGAACATGCTCAAAAAGTTCCATGGTATATATAACAATAGGCGGATTCTGTCAAGCCCTCTTTGCGATCACTAAGGAGAACAGAGATCGAAATATATTATTTTATGGCAAGATATATACTTTAATAGAAACTAATTAAGAGTTGTTTCTTGTTTTATATCATATATGATTGAATTGGTTCACCGATCCGAAGGAGTACCCAGCAAAACAAGATTTTTCAAAGCATCTGCATAGGTTATAATTGACCTGAAAATTCAGATAAATTAGTTAAGCTCGTTGATGGGCCATGCACATATTGAATAAAAGATTAATTAGTTAATAAAGTATTCAGGCAAAGAAACAACACAGAAAAACAAGTACAATATGCCTTTACCGCATGATCATTTAGGCTTCTTTTCCATACAAATATTTAATGTCAGAAAACTATTTAAAAGAAGTTTTTGTTTTTGACAAGTTAAAATATGATATTATCTTTTAATTGGTTTAATAGATAAAACCTTTCATTTACATTTGTTTCATTTTTAACCATCCATAACTTTTATGTCTTCGTTCTAACAGCTCTAGTGTGAAAACTCTTAACGCTAGAAATCTACGGGACTCTAGATAGAAATTCTTCTAATTATTCTCCAAATTAGAGTAAGAAATTAAATATCAAAATTTATTTAAACTAATAAATAAATTAACTAATTATATTTTATTAACAAAATTAAAAAACAAGATATATATTTTTTTTAAAGGAATAGTAAATGTATATAAAAGTTATTTTAATTTTCTAAATAAAAAATGGAAAATAATTTTTTGTACTCTAGCGCTAAAGTTGTCGAGCACTAAAGTAGCTTTGCCTTTTCGTAGCAGCTAGGGTTTGTGAAATAACAATTTATTTATTTTTAATAGATAAAATAAAAACTCCTTTAATTTGTGGATAAATCCTTCCAAACCAATATCAATCTTCTTTCATTAGAGACGTAATTTTATATATATTTAAAAGGTACAAAATGTGAAATCGAAAGTGAGAATTTGTAGTTAGTTGATTCTTTTCTGATTATATATTTGTATCTCCTCCACTTAAAAAAAGTAAGTAAAGGAGATAAGGAAACGACCACCACAGCCTAACCAACAATCGTACCTTTATACTCCTTAGAGGCTCTAAGCTTTTATGACAGCATCTAATACAGAATATATAAAATTTTAAAGAAGGTTCAAGGAAACAAGAATTAATGTAGTGGCATTAGCTTTATTGTATTCAAGTAGTTGAACGGGTCAATGCACGTTACCTCATTTATACTCCTTAAATTACGGAAATATGAAATTTCAGGGATGCCAATTCAGAAACACATTATTGTATTTAACTATTAAAAGAAATTAGAGAAAGTTTGCATTTTAGTTATTTGACTAACAAAAAGGAAATTGGTTAATGTTTCTCAAACTAGAAGAATCTTAAAATATTCCTCGAATAAACCCAGTTTATTGGCTGCCTCCCTTTCCTCCTTGGATCAAAGTTAACACCGATTGTCTTGCAAAAGGCAGTCCCGGTCCAGTCGCCTACGGAGGCATTTTTCAAGATGCCGTTGGTTTTTGTTTAGGTTGTTACGCAATGTCCTAAAAATTTCTCGTTTGATCCTCCTTGGGAACTTCGTACAAGATGGAAAAACTGCCTCCAGTTGCTGTAAAGGATTTCCTTCTGTTGTACAGACATCTTAAGAGAAGGCAACTTGGCAGCTAATTTCTTAGCAAATTTAGGTCTACATTCCAATTCTTTTACATGGTGGGACTCTCCCCCTGATCAATATCTCCAAACCTAGTTTGGGAACTAGTTTCCTATAGTTTGGGAACTAGTTTCCTAAACTAGGTTTCTCTCTTCATTTTCGTTTTAGGTGGTCTGTCCCCGTTTGTTTGTAAGGACTGTTTTTCTTTGTTTCTCCGTTGGGGTAAGGTTCTATGTCGCCCCGACTTGTCCCTCTATTTTCTTTTATAAATTTAGTCCTCGTTGCTGAGGTTTATTTAGAAAAAAAAAAAAAAAAAAATACAAAAAAAAAAAAAAAAAAATACTTAAAGCTGGAAGGAATACTACGCGTTACTACGCCTGTTCGAATGTTGTACAATTTTTATTTGGTTAAGTTCCGTCACCTACTTACTCTCTAAATAAGTGACCATTTTTCCACAAGGAAAACATTATTATATCATGAAAGAGTCGCACCTTCACCGCGTGACAATAAAAGGGACTAGCTTTTGACTAATCTCAATGGAAAATAAATCAACATTTCTTCGCGAAAAAGCGAACGGCTAGCTTTGAGAGACAAAGAACAAGTGGCACTTTATTCGGAGAAAAACATTTAAAAAAAACAAACAAACGAGCCCTCAATTAGGAAATGGTCTTAAAAAGGCTTTGAAGACTTGAGGTCAAGAACAATTCCAGCGATAGAGCCAGCAGCAGCAGCTATGGTGACAATGAAGCAAGCAAAGCTTAGGATTTGAAGGCAAACCCATTTTCTGCTCCACTTTGGTATCTTATTTTGGGCGATATACATCTCCACAGGAAAGTAGGCTGTCAAAGGCCAAAATCCTAGGGCTCCAAGGAGATCAACTACATCGTTACGGAACGGAAGAAGCATTGAAATCACAGTGATTCAGATCACAAATATAGTTCTCCAAACTAAACGGAAGAAGTTGAGCTTGTAGGGTTTAAACCCTGGAATTGGGACTTTAATCTCTTTGTTGATAAATTCGCTATCTGGGAATTTTTCAGCAGCTTGTTTTTCAACGAATGCAAAGAGGGGCTGACAGTAAACTTGATATGCACCGATAAGATGGATAACAATGGCTGCATTGGCTATGTCAATTAGCCAATATGGGTTACAAAAACCAGAACCAGTGAGGGGGTCTTCCGGTGATAAGTCTCCGCAGGCAGCATAACCAAAGAAGCCAAAGAGCATGTAGAATAGGGTTGTTATTCCAATACTGATCAGTGATGCCTTGTTCATTATTGTCTCAGCTTCAGATGAAGTTTTGATTGTGTCCTGTTACGTATATGCCAATTATTCATATTAATTAGATAAAATTTTCGGAAAAACAAATAGTATAATGTGAACATGCAGTTTTTGTTGTACTAAAAATGGAAGATATACCTGAATCTGAAAATGGACGTTGGAGTAAGAATAGGCCAAAGCTATGATACCAACTGCTTGTAAGCTCCTCCATATCTTCTGGGTTTCAGTCACTGTCCCAATTCTTATACCAGTTAAATTTCCCCTGAACTTTCTAGTTTCTGGTGATTAAGCGAGCCAAAAAAACTTACGTAACTTTTCTAGAAAAAAAGTTTCCCATTAAAATTAAAGTTAATAAATGATCTGTAGTGTATGTATATCATGCCTGCAACTTTAGCAATGCTGAGACAAAGAATAATTCCGGAGTAGGTAAAGGACATGGCAGCGGTTAAAATGGAGAGCCACCATAACTCATTGAAGTCGTTAAATTGAGAGGAAATAATAATCTGAATGATGCCAAAAACAATCATCTCTGGATTGGTATTCTCACGGTGCATATTATTGTGATCACTTATGTGAAGGCACTTTGACCTTCGGATTGCTCTTATTAACAAAATAAACCCAAAACTTGTTAGGCCATGGAAAAACATTACAAAAAATTAATTAAACAAGAAACCCAAATTCTTATAAAAAAGGAAATTTCAAAAATAATTAAAAATAAAAAATATAACGCACTTCATACTCATAGATGATGTTATAGTGTAACCAATGAGTCCACAAAAAAGGTTCACGTAGTAAACAAGCCCACAGACCTTAAATTTAGTCCCACCTGAGAAAGGAACAAGACAAATTAATTGGATACATAAAAGTGCAAAACTTCTTATCAAAAAAGGAATATTTTTTGTTATAATTTGATTAAGAATCTATATGACACCTGTAAAGTAGTATTCACGTTCGATTTCTAGATACAACTATCCTTAAATTTAAACAAAATCAAAATTTAATTCTATATATATTCTCTAAAAATCCCTCAAACATATAACCACAATAATTAATCATATTAAATTCTCTATAGATTTTCTCTTCATTATATATTCCGTCTACAGGTAATTTTAATAGCAAATACTTATGGCTGCGAGGGTAGTCGGTCATTTTCGATATTAGGGGACCTAATTACTAAACTTTGATCAGATGGGTGCGGATGTATTTGTTCCCTTTTGAAATCGTAATTTGTACGTTGATGTTATTAGACTAAAGCAGGGGACTCAAGGTAAATAAAAGTGATTCACTACAAATCTTAAATTGAAACCGAAGAAAAAAAAAGGGACAAATGAGTTAGTTTAAATAAATTAGACCCATGATTCAAATTTACCAAGGCTGGATCTAATAGCATCCATGTAAGTGTAGTTTCTCTTGCAGGGGACAGGGTCGCCTGAACGGTAACAAACAGCTAGAAGGGTAGAGATGTAGTAAGTGACAAAAGAGAACAAGAAGATGACTGTGAGCCCTGCAATCCATCCCAGCTGAGTTGTGGCCCAAGCCAGCGATAGAATTCCCGAACCTATCAGAGCCGTTATGATGTGAGCACTTGCAGTCCAGACAGTCCCTAATACAAAAACAAACATGAAATCAGTTATTAACTAAACTTAAACTGAAGTTCTATGTTTTATTAAAACTTACCTGTTTGCTTAAGGTGGCCATTATCATCCATGCATTCAGAGCTGCCTTGATGACACCGGATGGAAAGTTCGAAAACTTGGTTTTCACCCATCTCTCTTGTGAAAAAAGCCAACATAAATAAGCCTTCTTTTTTTGTTGTTGTAATCTTAATTAAAGTTTATGCACTATATAAATGAGAACAAAAACAAGCTTTGAAGAGAGTTAACAGCAGAGATATCTCAAGTCTACTTATGAGTGTGTTAAACTAATACTGAGATTTTCCATACCTGTGAAGCGTTAGAAGAAATTCGAAAAGATTTAGGGCTGTCTCAAGGTGAGTATGGTATCTACTAGCTATAGCTTGATAGATAAACAAAACAAAACCAAAACAAGTAGTTGTAGCAGGAGAAAGTGAAATGAGAATGAGGCTAGCTGCGGGTATACATATACAATAAATCGGGTTACATGCGTATCTTGAAGAGAGTACGCTGAAGAAAAGAAATGCTAGTCGACAAAGAGAAGAAATGCTAGTCTTACCATAAGTTATACAAAACCCCGACACAAGAGAAACACTAGCATTTGCCACATCACCTGTCTCATCATCTATGGTGGGGTTTCTTTGTATAACTTGTGGTAAGACTATCATTTCTCGAGAAAGAATGGGTGGGAAATGAAAACTATATACATACGCAAGGAACACAAGCATTTGCAATTGCCACATCATCTATGGGAGGTTTCTTTGTATCATCCCTTCCTAAAAATGTCCCCATGAATCTCCAAAAAGTCTCGTCACCACCAAAAATACCCAGATTATCCCTCCAAAATCAAAATACCCAGATTAACCCTCCAAAGTCATTTTCAAAAATACCCAGATTGACATCCAAAGTCATTTTCACATATACCCATGGGCCATGATCCTCACCTATGTCCCCCTGAATCTCCAAAAAGTCTCGTCACTACGTAAAATACCCAAATTAACCTCCAAAGTCATTTCCAAATATACCCATGAACCTCACCCTATGTCCCCAGCGTCACTTCCAAATAAAGTCTCCATAGTCCACCCCATCATCACTTCCAAATGAGAGCCGCTGTCAACAGTACAAGTCCTGACTTCCTCAATCCTCTCCTTTTCATAATTTACATGTAACAAGTAGCTGAAATTTCTTGTGCAATCTGTTGTGATAATAGTGATATAAAGATGACAAATTAAATTGGGAGCACTCTGAAACGATATCTATGAGCAACATAAATTAGGAAAATGAGACATGCAGAGCAATATGAACTAACTAGGAAACTATCTTCATATAATGCACAAATCGTTGGCTTCTTTGGTCATTCTTGGTGAAAGGCTAACTCGAGACTACACAAATTTCTTTTTCTTTTTTTTGAAAGTGTTTACTATGATTTTTCATTTTCTGTTTTCACAAAATATAAAATCCGTATTTTTCTTAGTATTTACAGTTTTATTCTATTTTTCCGAAAATATAAAAAACTAGTATATCGAAGGTGTTTTCTTGTTTCACTGCTTAAATTTTTTACAATATATCAAACATTGACTTTAATCTCAAAACTAGAAAAGTTATAATCATTTTATTAAAACAGGAGAAAAGAAAACTTGATGAAAAGTTTTCCTTGTAAACAGGAGCTTCACACTCAGAGATCGTCAATCATGTATTTTACATGAACTTATATACATGACCATTATCTGTACAATGTTCTCTACAGAAAGAACGCCTTCCAGTTTTAGTATATTTCCTTTCCTTATTTATATTCTTTACACAAATGTCCATGTATTATTGTTCTACAAAGTTTACCAAGGACGAAACCACCAGAATACTAAAAATCTCCCATCTTTTGTCAGGGATCCATAATCCTATTCATAATTATCCTGGTACTCCATCTGTGTTTTCAATTCGTTCCCACAAAGTTCCCAGAAGTTAAGGATGGATAGCTGAGCTTTACAAATATAGAGCAACCAAAAGCAGCTTAATATGTGAAGAGTCTGATCACTTTCCGTAATAATATACCTGGTGTAATCAAATACACATAACACTGATTACAAATTCAACCATGATAAGGAAAATAAAACGACAGAATGCATTTTGGAACGCTCATCGCTAATATATTATAATCCAAAAGTTCAAACCCTTTAAACGGCATAGACTCTAAGTTTGATATTTTCATTGCACTGATAAGTATGCAATTTCAGTGGACTACTATACTCACATTTGTTACAATTACCGAAGTTGTACAATATTTAGACTTAATTTTTTTCAGGGCAATGTATTAACCAATTGTCATCAAATAATAAAAATTAATCCTTGCATTTTGATTATGTGAATACTTGGTTGGATGCAAAAATCTGCAACACCTCTGTTAACCCAAATGAAAATATATACAAAAAGAAGTTGGGCGTTTTAGTGATCTGTATCATGTGACAAAAAATCACAGTTCTTCACTCACCAATAAAGTTCTCAGATGACAGAAGCTAAACCACCATAACTAGGAAAATCATTAAAGACGACAGTTGTAGGTCGCACATTTTTCAGGAAAATGTCATAGCATCCATTTCAAATATGTGCAACAAGTGCAAGACAATGGCTTGATGCTCACAAAAGCATATAGAAGAAAAAAATGGCTTACCTTAACAGTTCGGTCAGCATATCCAACAAAAAGCTTTCCTTGCCAGTAAAACAAAGCTGTTATGACAGAACCACAGGATATTGAACCAATAGGTATGGCATCCACGTGAAACTCATTCACCATTAGTTCCTACAAATTGATAGCAACATTGATGAGTAACATAAGTTCCTAAATAAATGAAATATATATTAAATTTAATTCAGAAGAGTTTAGACAGAAACAGGATATTATTAGCTTAAAGTTAAAATCTCAGTTGAAAAGAACTTTCAAATGCAAATATGTACTACATTACAAGTTCTTAAATAGGTTAATATCAGCCATGAATCAGCTTGTCCGCCTTCAAGCCATACAAGAATTGATGTAATCAATATAATTAAACAAACAAATGATACACCTGCACACTGACAGTCTTGTCCCAGCCTCCTGTAAACAGCCATTTCCCCTCCATGCAAATAGACAGGATGGAACCATTATGTGTTTGCATGGATTTCATTAACACATCATTACTCCAGACCTGCAGGATGTAGTGTTGAAGATAATAAATTCACTGACTAAGTTAATCAGGAAAAAAGCTTGAAAGGAAAGCAGCATCTCCATATTGGTATTCCCCATGACAAGGAAACACTTCTATATATTCCCTATTGGCTCAAAAATCATATTCATGTGCATGTTCGAGCATACACATTTTTGACTGCGGAACTGCAGATGCACAATACTTAAGCATATAAATCAATCTTTCCTCAAGCTCAATGCAATGTAATTCTAGCATTCTACATTAACTATCTACGAAGTCATAAACTGCAGAAATCAAAGTAAATGTCCAAATCTCATATCCTCCCAGAAGTGGTGGTCGTTAAACACTCCATAAGGATTCTGCCACCTAAGCTTCATAATTTTATGATGCTAATAAAATATTAAATTCTGTCCCACAATGTCACATGCGAATTCTCTGCATAACATGACCAAAATAACTTTGGCAGGCTATTATAGACCACCTTGAAAGTTCAAAATTATTTCACTTACATGTAGTGTCAGCTATTCAATACCCATAAAACATAAACAGATCAAACCTGGCTCAAGCAAGTATCAGAGACTACAACACCTTTATAGATCCATTTTCATGAGCTGCAACAATAGTATGCTGATTGGCAGTAAGAGACAAGACAGAGTATACATTCCCCATACTGACTTCCTCCAATACCGTCAACAGACTATGATCACTTAGACTCCACAATCGGATGGTTCCATCCCAACTCCCACTATAAAGAACCCCATTGCATACTGCTAGTGTAGAAACTACGGATTTGTGACCATTCATAGTGCATGATAGGGCACCATCCTGTAAACGACAATACATTATGGATAATGTATAACATTTGGAAAAGATGAGGTTATAATTCGAATAGATCATGCGATGACAAAAAATTCATTACCAGCAATGACCACACTTTAATTGTCTTATCTCCACCGCCAGTATATAGATATTTCCCTAAACTAGCCAAGGCATGAATACCACTATAACGCCAATCCTTTGGTTCATTCCATTTCTTTATTGGTTCTTGCCCAAGAGGGAAACTAGTGCTCCATACAAATATACCACCTCCACTGTCACCACTTATGCATAATGGTTGTTCTTCATCCACATAGACTACTGCCATGACTTTATGCTCATGACCTTTGAATGTATGTACATGAGAAAAGTCCTGCACATAAGCACAAAGAAGGTAGTTGCTGAAAACAGATAACAGAAAATAAGCCTCAAATCCAATAAAATAATTAAAAAGAAAAAAGAGAGAAAACTTTATGCTCTCTCATATCATATCAATCAAACAAAATACTGAAGTGGATCTACTTACGCATTCAATATGAATAGATAAGAATCATGACGGTATAACAGAAGTAACCATTCCTTAACAAAATGCATAATAAATAGTACGAATACTCGTATAAAAAGTTTTAAAAGCAATGGATGAGGTTCTTATATGAATTAGAGGACTAAGGATACTTAAAATAATTGTTGATTTCACAGTGCATACCTGCAATGACCATACATGGACTGATTTATCAAATGAGGAGCTAAACAGGAACCCCCCTACAAGAGGGAAAAAAATTGCATTCAGAATAAAGCCGCAAAGTATGTAAGCTTCAAAACAACATTTTATAATAAAATGTGTAGCAACAACTTGAGCTTCAAAAAGTCATGCTCTGCAAACTTGTATAAACTAGGCAGAATAATGAAGAAAAGGGGAAAAAGAACAAAATACCCTTCGTGAGAGCAACTGTGTTATAGATATAAACCAGCACATGACATGAGTGGGAAGGAAAATATTTAGCTGAGGTGAGCATGAGAAAACATCAGAGAAACTTCCACTCTTCTAGAGTGGTTGATCATAGAAAACCATGCTTACAGCTTGCATTAGAAACTGTTTCATAGGTTATAAATAAAGATATAACTAAAGAGGAGAATGACCTCAGATTCATAAGCACTAGGCTTGCCAGGCTTCTAAAGAAAGGAAGCCCAACCATGGTTTGGATGGGAAGTGATTTCCATAAGCTGGCTGGGAGAGGTTCCCCTGCATTTTCATAGTCATAATGAAAAGGATTGTCTACACAATAACTACACGTCCAAATGTTTGGAAACTGAATAGATCCAATAGTTGACAACAACAAATGATGCTTATCGCAAGGATATCACTTCATTCTCAATTCTCAGCAATCTAGGGCAATTAAAATATGCAACAGATGAAGAACTTCAATAGAGCATTGAGTGAATTCCATACCTCCAACAGCTAATCCAGTGACACAATCAAGATGGCCCTGCATGTCTTTAAACTTTATATTTCCCTCTGTTAGCCCTTCAACTAAATCTTTGGTAACCCCTGTCTCCCCAGTTTGATCAATAGCAGTGCCATTGCAGTTCTCCACTGCCAGCAACCCATCTTTTTCCTCTGTCGATAATCTTCCCTTGGGCAACCAGCACAATTCTCCAAGGACCAAACAATGACCTTCATTCTCCAAATTTACTGCCTCATTGCATTTGATCATTTTATCAAATTTACATTTAATAATCAGCTCCCTCAGGCACCTCCACACATCAGTCAAAAGAGGACGATTCCCTGAATCAAAATTCAAACATTGACAAAACATCTGCTGCAAAGACACAAATTCTGAACCAATCTTATTTTCCAACAAAGAACTTACTTTCTCCACCCAACCCATGTACATCCCCAAACTGTTCTCTTCACCTGCTTTTGTGCTAACAAAACATATATAATGAACCAGCTCTTCATTAAATTTTCTCCCAATAAGGAGTCCAAGCAAAATACAAGCTAACGACCAGACATCTGAACCATACCCAACCAAATGTCTAGTCTCCCCAGATTCTGCCTCAATTCCCTCTTTCTTCAACAACTGAAACAGCAGCTCCGGACTGAAAAACAAATTTCTTTTCAATAAATCACTCAAAAGAACTCCCATTTCTTTATCACCAATCCTTCTACCACCACAACCTACTTCCACAACACTTTTAACAATCTTCCTTCCTATCACTAAAACTTCATTCAAATCAACAAAAACATGCCCAAAGTCATCAAAACTAAAGCAAGAGAAACCTAAACAACCTAAAATCAACCCTTGTTGATTAAATCCAATCAGTGCTTCACACATTTCCATACCCATCATTGCCAAACCAAACAATCCATCATTACCCATACCATCTTCATCTATCAAAGCCCCCAACGATTCCAACAAACTCTGATTCATTCTCTCACAAACTATGCACAAAGACCCATCTGCCACATCACCCCACAAGCCCAAAACTCTACATAACTTACTCACTTTCGAAGAACCTCTCAGAATGAAACGCAATTCATCTACCTCTTCCTCTTTCATACCACTCAAACACTTAATCACTCTCACAACATAACTATACTTAAACACAGAATCATCATCTGATATCAAAGAACCAACCTGAACAAGACTCACCCTTTGACTTCGACTTTGACTTAAACAACCGAAACAGGCACCACCATCTTCTCCAGACTTCAGTTCAACTAAAACGGCATCCTGGGGGAGAATATACTCTTTCCAGAGAGAGTAGAACTCATCAGACCACGTACGGGGGATGAAGTCCAAGTGTGGGGCAGAATTGAAATTCTTGGGATTGTTGTGAGGCTTTTGGGGATCCGGGTCAATGAGACGGAGAAGGTCGATATTTTTGGGGAGAGAGGAGGGGCCTTGCGGCGGGTACTTGACGAGTACGGTACACGCGGGGCAGCGGATGGTGTCCGGAAACTTGTGTGGCAGGTTCAACAGGCAGCTCTCGCAGCACGTGTGGCCGCACGCGAGAACGCGTGGAATTGTATACTCGCTGTCGTAGGACTGTAAGCACACCGGACACTCTGGCATCTCCATCGTCACGTCTAGACGAGGGACGAGTACGACCAACTCGTATCAGTAAATTGGTTTATTTGGTTTAGCCTAAGGCGTTTCATGCTGCTAATAAACGACGTCGTTGAGAAAAACGACAACGTTTTGAATCTTTAGTTTTGAACATTTTTTACCCCTCGTTTTTTAACTAATTACCGAGTCTACCCTTTTATAGAGTCTTAGTTAATTTGGCTTAGTCACAGATTCATAGACTTGGCGTGTCACTGACAGAGATCGAGATCGGAGGGTCTAGGGTTTTAAAGGTATGCTTTTGGACCATTTTTCTGTTTGGTTTCGTAGAAAATGTGGCTGTTAATGGATAAATTTTAAATCTTTTCCATCTTATTACGATCTATATTGCTTGTGAACCTGCCCTCAACTGAGCCCATGCACGACTTCAATTGAGGCTGTAGCTAAACGAGCTTTAATCTTTTCAATGTCTTTTTGTGTGATTGGTTCATGCTTTATACCATTTCACTGTAGATTTGGTTGTGAACGGATCGATTGTGCGCTTATTAGGAAATGAATGTAATTGTGAATTTATAATATCACTGTGCCCATTTCATGGTTTTTTTTGTAGTTCTAGTATGAAATTGGAAAATTTCATTTTGGGTTAACTGTCAGTGTGTCTGATTTGAAGCGTCAAAACGGAAGGTTCTCTCTCGATGGAGATTCTCACTGTGCTAGAGAGATGTTTCTTTCACTTGAGTCTCTGCATAAAGAAATCTTCAGAACACATTTTCGCCACTAAGGATATTGTTTACGATTTCTGTATGCAAAATTGTGCTTCATACTAGTTCTTTTGTGTTCTTAATGAATCTAGACCACCGGAGACCATGTTCATGCCACAAGTTTCTTTTTATGGAAGTTAGTTTCTGCCTTGCACTTGAAGTATATCTTCACAAAAGATAAGGTGTCGACTGAATATTTGTACTTGAAGGACTTATTGTTTCTTATATGCTGCGATTTAATGTTAAGAACTATGGTTTTTTTTTTTTTTTTTCTATTAGGTATAATCAATATTTTATATTAACATAGGCTTCAAAATGAGGAACCTACACATGCTATTTTCTTTGATTCTTTAGTTGAAGTGGGATTCACTTTACAATGGTGCATTTTTTTATGTTTTGACATTTCAAGTGGTTGAGTGGTTGATTGTGTATCTGATGCTCTTGTCACTAATTCTGCAGACAATGGCTGGGTCAGGGAGTTCGATGCTATATTCATTTCTTTTCTTTGTTGTCATTTTGTCTCTTCAAGAAGTGTACCGAGGCAAGTTGGCATCAACTGAGTTATTTACTATACTTGGAGGCTTCATCAGTTCTCTCCTGTTCCTTGTGTCACTAACTGTAAGTGATGGGAATCTCATTTCATACATGAGTGTTGTTATTTTTCTCAAAGTTCTATTTCTTATATGTTGACAATGTTCTTATCAAAAAATTGTTTATCAAGTCATAATTGAACTAAGATAAATATTGTCTCTCTAGTCATACTGTTGATATTATTATTTTCTTCTATGATCAATGAGAAATGTATCCATAGAGAAAAAGGGGTTAGTCTATGCACACAGGATGTATCCAAAGTGGTTGTTTAAATATTAACGTGTCTTTTGATTCATAGTCTATAGTGTCTTTATGTATTATAGACTGCAAAAATCCATGAAATTTTAATTTCTCCGAATGGAGACAAAAACTAAATGTCATTTAAGATGATTATTTGTTATGAGATTTCCCTCTCCCTGTCCCTCCCTTGCTTGTAATCTTCCCTTTTCTTCTATCTTGTGTTCAGGAAAAATGCTGTGTACTTTGACTGTCTTATGTAGCTCAAATCACTATTTTTCTGACTGCTAAGTTCATGAAGCATGTACATTTAAGCTTAGGTCTCTGTACTTGAAGATATTAGTTTCTCACATCCTAGTGATTGACTGGAATCTGGTTATTAATATGCACTCCCACAAATGGATATCTGTTTCTCCCATGTGTTTTTTCCTTGCCCTACACCTTTATAGCTGGGTTTATGTTTGTATGATTGGTTGACATTCTTGTAGTGTCCCATAAATCTGCAAGTTTAGATCTGCATACCAAGTTGGGTGTTTGATTTTGCAGCTTGTATAACTTTATTATCCATTGTTAATGTGCATGAGGTTGATTGTTTTTGCAGTTCATTGGAAATTTCCAGGAAACATGTGGCATGAAGACTGGATGGGGTGCTGGTGAGTGCACTTAATTTATATATTTCATTACTCTCTTCTTCCCTCCATTGAGTGAAGCCCAAGAGAATGAGTTTAGAAGGGGCCTTTCAAATGTTCCTGCATACTTCACTGTATTCTATGTGATAAGAGCATGGTATGAATGCAAACACATCTGCCCCTGACTTGTGACTTAGCCACTGTTGAGGATCCTCTGTGTAATTCATGCACATCCCATGCTTTTCTCTGCATATGTAAACCCCTATTTTATAGTCTGCTGCATGTGTTTCTTTGTTTAGTTCTTTATGACCTCTGTCTATGCATTCTACTGTCAATTCTATGCTTGTCAGGCATAAATGGTACACATCTTTGGTAACTCTTTAGTTGAGATAAAATTTGGTGCACAGCTTGGGTTTTCTCTTTAACCCTGTTGAAAAGCCTTGAAGTACTGGAAGATCATATGTCACTTTAGCTTGCTTACCTGTTGCCTCTAAGTTTGGCCTATTTGCCAAAGAGGATAGCAAATAGCTGACTCATAAGTTACCTAAATCTTAGACATAAAAGCCTTGCAATTGATATTCTTGTCTGTCTTTATCTGTCATCTTGCAGGTCACCCTCTTGTTGCTTCTGTATGATGGATATTGATGTTCAGTAGCAAAAGGGGGCTAGGAACTTTACCAGCACATATATTTATTTTTATTCTTAACTGCTTTTTATAAACTCTAAATCTTATCCATGTAGTTTTGGCATTTCAGAATCCAGAGAAAGACGTAGTGCCTGTGTAGTGTAATTCATTCACAATGCAGTCTCCTTGGTTGTAATATTTATAGTTCCAGAAGTAACTTGAATGAATCTTTTTTTTTTTTTATCTTGCAGTTATGATAGCTGAAGCAATTGCTCTGATTGCTGCTAGCACAGTCCACCGAGTCTGCATCACAACTTGGTAATGTCGAGATAGATATATTAATTCTGCTTCTATTATAAAATTGTCAAATTGGCATGAGAGTGGTGGAAAACATGTTTTCAGGACACTGACCTTATTCCTAAATCTCAATGCAGTTTCTTGTTCTCAGCTGGACTACTTTACGAGGTCAACAAGCTTTCAGGCATGATCCTTGCTAGAAGTGAATCTAAAACAAAGAGGCACTGAAAGAGATCTTATATCTTATTCGTATAAACACTGATTAAAAATTCTGTCATTTTATCTTCCATTCCATAATCATTTTTGAGTTGTAGAAGATATTTGTTAAATGAAAATTATAGAATACGCTGAGTGAGTTAAAAAATTTCTTTTATGCTGTTATTGGCCCCTCCTCGTCCATATTAAAATGCCCCTGAAACCTTCTTTTACATACTTCTGAAGAAGGAAAACTGAGTTTTAATTCTAATATTTTCGAGGCCCTTTATATTGCCCCTGTTGATTGTCTACTTTTATTTGTGGTGCCTTAATGTCTTACGATAGATAGATCAACAATGCTACAGACACCGGTGTTTTTACACCAAAGTTTTGTACCGACTTACGTGTGTGCTGACTCAGACCATTCAACTCATTTTTGCGTTATTAAATTTTGTCTAATGGACGGTCGTCCATAACATATAGACGGAAGTCTATTGCTAAATGAAATAAAAAATATTAAAAAAAGTTAGGGACGGCCGTTCACGGTCGTTCATAGGTTATGAACGGCCGTCCATACATATTGGATGGGCATTCATATATTTTGGACGGACGTCTGCAATGTGTGGACGGGTGTCCGTATAGAATGGACGTCCGTCCATAATTTGGTTTAAAAAGATTTAAAAAAATATTTGGACACCCGTCCATAATTTATGGACGGGGCGTCCCTTAAGTATGGACGGGCGTCCATTACATATGGAAGATCGTCCATACTTAAGGGACGCCCGTCCATAAATTATGGATGGCCGTCCTTTATTTTTGGACGGGCGTCCCTACTCTAATTAAAAACAAAAATTTAAATTAAAAAACTTTTAGGTTAAAAACTTTTGGGGAAAGCGTTTAAAAAAAAAAAATCAGTAGCAGTCTTCTTCTTCTTCATCCATCTGCGCTCTGCTTCATCGTGTTCTTCATCTCTAGTTCATCGTCTTCTTCATCTCAAAAAACAAATCAGCCGCGATAATTAGACACTTTCGTTTTTCAATTTTTTTTTTTTTTTTTTTTTTTTTTTTTTTTAATGGTGGATGAATGTGTTGGATTTACATTTGTGTTGAATGGAGTTGAGTTAATAAAGAGAAATCCAATCAATTTGGTGGGATTGGTTTGTGTGATTGACAAATAGAAGTGTTCTGTTTTGGGTGTTTTTGGCTTGGAAAAAGATAACATTTTTGTTGGTTGTGTTGTTCTCTGTTGATTATGTCTAAAATTTGTAGTCAACCATTGCATTGCTAGGCAAAAATTAGTGTGTCCAGTGGACAAGGTTAGATGATAGGGGTTGTGCAGTTCCTGCCTTATATAATTCAGTCTTCTTTGTTTGCCAAGATGTTGGCTATCAGATTTTACCATTTTGTTGGTTGTTTTGTTCTCATAAATGTATGTTAAAGCTTACTTTCAGGTTGCTTCATCTTCGTAAAGATTCTTGTTCTAGTATCAGTGTTAGCTTTCTTTGACTCAAAATGTGTAATAATTCAATGTAACAAATTGTCTAAAAGGATTTAAAAGACAATTTTCAATGTTTGTGTAAAACTGTGCAGTGCTTCTGCAGATTCATTGCCTGAAACCATCGAGTGAAAAATGAGGTCCCATAGTACAATCACAAAATCTTGAAAATAAGAAGTTTACTTGAAGCATATCCCTATTCTGGAATACCAAGAAAAAAAAAAAAAATGATGAAGACTTTATGCAACCTTCTATAACCAGCCAACCAACCTCCCAAATTCACTTCTAACTTTGGCATCCTCATGCAATTCCTTCGGTTCAATAAATATGTACACTTACAATCTGTCTTTTCTTTCTTTTTTTCAAGAAACAATGAAACATACTAAAGGAAGGAATCAAGAGAAACAAATAAAAAGAAAAATCTGAGTGTTGTGGAAATTGATAAATATCGCCATTTTTTAGGGGTTAATTCACCAAATTAACTGCTTCTTAAATGTGCTCTCTATATTTGACCACCAAATTAGATTGATGGTCAAAATAGCCTCACCTCCTCTCTTATTTTTCATTTACAATTATCCTGTAACTTTAACTATTTGTAGTGGGATAGATCTCATCTCTTAAAGATTAGTACTGATTATTCATTTCTTTTTTATTGTATTTAATGGATTGTAGGTAGCAAATATACATTTCATAGTCTAGGAAACCTAAAGTTCTTAGATTTGGTGCAATGTTGTTGTGATTTTAGATTGTCAAATACATGAAAAATAACATATTTGGTTGTCGATGTGGTTTTGTACCTAGCATGATGACATATAGTGCATATTTAGTTAAAAATTTAGGTTCTAAATCATAACAGAAACAATTCTATACCTAGTCGAAAGAAAATATTTTCACCACCTTTTATCAATCTTTATTTTATTTTATTTTTTCATTTTTGTGTTTCCCTTGATTTATTTTGAATTATTTGTTCTGTATTTTTTTAATTATTGTAATAAATTGTTAGTATAGAAATTTCCTGGTTATGCAATAGTAGAACTTTGGAGAATCACACAAGAAAAAAACTCTGTTAAGTGAAAAAGATTCAAGAAGATGTGTGGATTTCACAACCTCCATTGTTTTATGGGACAGAATATGGTTACCGGAATGGTTGTATGAGAGAGCCTTTATATAGTGTTTAGGATGGTAATAAATCAGTTGATAATCCAGGAAACTATTTTCATCCACTGTTTCCAAATGTTAATTAATACCACAGGAAGTATCTTATAAAGCAGAAATTATTTGACCATTTGCCACACATTTTAAATGATGTAAGTGATTTAGTGCCAATTAATCTTGATATTTGAGAAATATTCTTTCTGTTGTTGATGGTTTTTGTGACTTGTGAGTCGATCTTCTTTGATGGTTTGACAAAGAGTTCAAACGATACAATTACTTAATGTTATGTTTTAGTTCTATCTCACTATGGATATGTTTTTTTCAGGGTCAAAGCAGAAAATGGTAAGAGTAAAAAACACAACCACTCCGGGTGGAGGCTCATCGTCATCTGGAGTCCAATTTCGAGACGTGCAACATAAAAAGCAATACAAAGAGATGACGAAAAGAGAGATTTGTCTTGGAAGAAGCTTGGATTTAGGATTTATAACCAGTTTGGGTTTAGGTGATGAGATTAATGGTTGGATTCGTAATTTGAAATGGGAGCAGTTGGCGAGTAATAGATATGATGGATATAAGCATTTGATTTACGAGTTTTTTAGTAGTTTGGAAGTTGTGGAGACAAGTACTGATGATATACTACCATATACAATGTTTTTTAGATTAAAGAATCAGAATTGTGTAGTGAGGCCACAGGACTTAGCAAACTAGATAGGAATTGATTTTGAAGGTTTGGATAGCGTACCAAGAACGTGGGATTCCAAACAAGCTTGGACGAATGTTTCTGGAATAGGGGTTTATCATCCACATAGGTGTAAATCTACGAAGTTAAGAAATCCTGCCATGAGAGTTTTTCACAGATTTTTGACATTCACATTTAATCTCAAGAAAGAGACAAATGGAAATATGACAGTGAAGGATTTATTGTTGATGGAAGCAACAGTAACGGGGAAGCAAGTAAATTCAGCTAAGTTATTGATTAAAAAGTTGGGAGAGATTAAAGCAAAAAAATGTGACATTTATTGGGGGATGGTTGTTAAGCTAATATGTCAGAAGTTGGGTTTTCAAATCACCCGTTCAGATGAAGCCAATAAGATAACATTTTCTGCCCATAATTTGTTGGGGGATGTCACATTGTCTAAAATGGGTTTGATTAAAAAGAATGTGTCAGGAGAATGGTTGCTGATTAGGGATGAAATGGAAGAAGAGGCAACGATGCAGGAAGGTGTCCTTTTTCCAGAAGGGAAAAATGAAGGAAGAGTCTATGTGCGGAAAAGAAGAAGAACGAGTATGGAACCTGGATCTTCTCAGAATGTAGAGGAAATGTCTTCTGATACCTTAAACGAAATAGTAAGCAGAATTGATCGGATCGAAAGGTTTCAAGAAGAGAGTTTTTCACGTATTGAGAGGAAAATGCAAGAATAACAGGATCAGTTGCAAAGTGATTTCAACTCGTTCGCATCAAGAATAGAAGAAACGGTTGACATCCTTGGGGAACGCATGACAGAAATATCCAACATGATGAAGAAATTGTCACCAGCCTCGTCCTCCTCCAGTCAGCCTCCACCCCCTACACTAGGATAAAGAACTACTGAACAATCTCCACCTTGTCAACATCTATGTAGTTAATTAGGGAACGGACTATGAATATTAATTGTAATTATGTGTAGTTCAAATATTGAACTGTATGTACGGAAATATGTTAATTAATAAAGTTTGATTTCACAATATGTTCTCAATTAGCTGAACTTCTCCAATATCATATGATTGTTAATTCTTATTATAAATGTTATGTACAAAGATTATATTTGCCACAGTAGAATCTGAAATGAAATGTTGAATAATCTGAAATGAAATGTGACGATAATATATATTGAAAACATCCAGAATAAGGCTAATATATACATTTACGTTATTATTATGAATTCAACACCAACAACCAACAGTGTACTCTTACCAACCAGCAACAGAAATGAAAAAAACAAAACAAACATACCAAAAGACATATGAACACCCTAAATCCTAAACCCTGAAATGTACAATAATCTGAACTGAAATGTGACAATAATATATACTGAAAACATCCAGAATAAGGCTAATATATACATTAACATTATTATTATGAATTCAACACCCTACAATCAACAGTGTACTCTTACACAACCAGCAACAAAAATAATAAAAACAAAACAACTGATTCAGCATATAGCTCAACTGCATTCGTCAGAAATTAACCACAACGCAAATAATTTCTACCGAATACAAATGCAACAATACTCCAACCAGTTAATGATATCAAATCTCTCCCAATGAAAACATGTTCATCATTTACATCCTCCTATCCAGTACATAAATTACTATTTGCTGCGAGATTTTGAATCGGACCAGTGGACAACTGTCAATGTTTAATAACCACATTTTAGCACATGTTATAGAAAACTTAAGGTTTTTACAATTATACAACATACATAACACATACTTGAGTAGCAACAATATCATTTGACAACACTTGAGTTCCCGGTACACTTTTAGCAATGTTTTCTCGCTCTGCTGATGATTCTTTCCCTATCAAGTAGCATAACACATCAATAATCAAGTAAATTTTATTATAAACTTCAAATAAGTAAATAATGTTTAAAAAACAAATATCATGTCAGAATGGG